ATGATTTTCATTCTTTTATTCATAGAGTGACAAGATCTGTTAATCGACTAAATATGTAGAATTAATTATTATTTCTTCATCAGAATTTTGTAACCAGTTACATATGGGTATGTGAGGTATAGATTTTAAATTTTTAATTAATTGTTTATTAATATAGATATATTTCAAATTAATTTGTTATGAAGTATTAGGTATTATTTAGAATTTTATTATTATTGAATGACTATGACAGTTATTCTATATTATTGTCTTGTTTTAATGGGCTCTGATCCATAAATATATTATCGATATCTACATATAATTTTGTAGTTAGGTATACATATAAAAAAAAGTATAATTTAATAAATATATATTTGTCATAGCTTAATTACCTTGGAAGATTAGTAGGTAACATCAATGGCTTACGAGGTCCTAAATTAATAGCTGGCACAGCATGTTTTTTTAAACGCTTCCTAGTTCCTCCTAGAATGAAGTCACTTTCTACGAAATGTGCACTACAAACGGCATTTACAGAAGTCAACGTTTCAGCCTTGGGATCTCTTCCTAACGCCCTCATCCAAGCTGAATACCTATCAGAAGTTAATCTAAAAAAAAACACATGATAACTACATAATTTTTGGTTCTGGGTGCTTCAAAAGGGAAGAATTAGTCGACAATTTGGCTCAGATAGCTAAAATATAACACCCGTACGCCCGAACCACGTATTGCTATCCTTTTAAGTATGAAAAAGGAGGTCAAAAACACATGGGTACCCCCTAGTTTGAATAAAAAATAACTAGTCATCCTTACCTGAAAAATGGAGGCGTCTGACTCTTACACCACAAAACCTTACACTTTTTCCCCATTTTAACAAGAGTCTGATTAAATCTGATTACTATTAGGTACAGTGTATCAACCAAGAGCAGGCACTTAAGTGTTCTAAAGCTAATTTCAACACAAAACGAACAAAGCACTAAAAAAAAGTAGCGATTAAATATAAATAAACCACACAATTAAATTGAAATTAAAAACTATTAACTGTAAAGACAGATCATCTAAAAACGTCAAAGATCAAAACCAAACAAAACGAATGACTGTAATAACCTTAAAATCACACTCAAAATTGCAAAAACCAGCTCTGTAAAATCATGAGATCACATCAATAATGGGCATGCGCCGGAGTATCGTAAATGTTAAAAGTACAGTGTTTTCATGAAAATTTCACTACGTTTTTAGCAGCGTTAGAGAACTATTTCTACCACGCGCATCCAACGACATTGGCGTTCCATTTAAATATACAGTTCAGTGTCTGGAACTCAGGGTAGGAAACAACAAATTTTTATGATTTTAAGCAGAAGTAGAATTTATTTATAAGTAATGGAAATCATAAATAATGGGATAGGTCTATTGCAAATATTGCCAATCGTCATTGCCAATCTCGACTACGAAAATGTTGGATTCGGCCCAGTATTCTCAATGCGAGAAAAAATACGGAATCACCGAATTTACATGTTCTATGCCAACAAATTTTTTAACCGGTTTGATTCGACTTTCTTTGATCTCGATCTACTTTATTTGGGTTAAATTTGATACCACTTAATGCAACTTTCGACTTCATTCGTCAGATCTACACTATGTCGAATCTAAAGTCAAATCGAATCTAATTATTTCATTCGACATAATCTTTAGAATATGTAAGAAGAAACATTTTTTAAAATTAGAACATGTAGATATAAAAATTCTAATTCTTAAAGGACAAAATTATGCCATCATGTTTATTAATAAATATAACTACAAGTTTGGTTAATTCTATAATTATTTCAAAATAATTTTTTATTTCTAAAAATAAAGTTGCTATAAAAATTTGATAGAACAAGAGCCGGTTGCAAGAATGTCTATAAAAATTTACAAGCCTGATACGTTTTGACAAACGTTTAGACTGTGAGTAATTTTCAGTTCACGTCATTTAGAAAAAAACATTCTTAATTTCTCTCAAAGTCATATACAATTTAATGATCATCTTTGTAACCGGATGTGTGTATGTTTTTAATATTAAAATTTAGCAAATTATTTTGATTTATATTTATTTTAAAATGTAAATAAAACTTATAATTTAATCTCAATCTTTGGATTTAGGCCATTCTCCAGATACAAAAATTCGTTTTAAAAATTCCTTAATTTATACCACGCCAAACTTATTGGATAAATGGCATTAAGCTACAAATAAGTAACAAAATTCGGGTTTTAAACTATCTGTCCATAACGCAAATTCTATTAATACCACACGGAATACTTTTTTATCTCTATAGAATTAAAAGGTTATTTACTACTGCTGTCCAGATACTGCTTCGATGTCAACATGTAACGTTTATTTGAAAATACGTTATAACTTCGACAGTAGATTGTACACCTAAAAGTGACGTTTTTACAACTAATTACGCGACGATATTACGAAGCATCGTAACATAATAGGTTGCTCACCTTAGTAATAGTATTAGTAGTAGTTAACCATTTTACATAGTATCAAAATAAATTATTATTCTGCCCCAGATCACTTTACCCTTTTCGAAAGGTGCGTACAGACATTTAACAGAACTTCGTATCGTAGCACCGTCACGCAACGGGTCTGGACGGCATTACCTACTATAAGTCCTTCCATTATCAATTGCAGAACACAGTTATGTGGGGAATCATCAATATTTAATATATACGCACGGTACTCATGCCAAATTAAGAAACGAAAAATAATGTTTACTCCCCTTATACAAAGCGGTAAATATTAAACGAACCATCAGTTGTTTACCAATGAAAACACCGAATCGTAAACTTAAATGCACTGTATTGGCCGAAGGTTTACGGAAGGCAGGTGTTCGAAAATATTCCTGGAAGACAGCCTGCGATATCAGTGGAGTACTGTCGTGCGGTGTGTTTTGTATGTGTGGTTGGTTTAATTTAAATTTCTTTTAATAAATATAAATATGGCGTTCTTTAGACCATGGGCGAATGAAGAAAATAAAATTGCACAGTGTAGTGAGATTAAAGACAGGTATGACTTTAACGATAAGGATTTAGATATACAAACACAACAAGTTTTTTTAAATATATTCGAATGTTTAAAAAAGGAAAATATTCAGCAATCTGATAATGCGTTCATAATAACAATTGCTGAATTAACAAAAGTAAATAAATTTTCCGTTTATCCGGTAGTCACGAAAGGGGTTGCTGTGGATTATTCATAAAACCGAAAAACATGTAAAGAAAAACTGAAATCAGTTGACAGAGCTACCCAAGATTTTATACGAAGGACAATTTATAGTTTATTTAAGGAGAACAGGGTTCCGACATTGGAAGTAATACAGCAAAAGGTGGCAGATTTTCCAGGATACACTTATACCAGTTTGGAAACATTGCGTCAAGTTTTGTCAGCATGTGGTTTTAAAAACAAAAAATTGAATAAACAGATGAAAATCACCGGATCGTCAAGGATAGTTCAATGGCGACAAGATTATTTGCGTCAGATAAAAGGCTACAGAAGTTCTAATAGACACATAATTTATCTAGATGAAACATGGTTTGACAGTCACGATGTAGTAAATTTCGGTTGGGTTAGAAGTAGTAAAAATTGCTGTTTGAATGGGCCATGTTCTAAAGGGAAACGCATAATAGTACACGCTGGAAGCAAAGACGTGCCTAATGCTTTATTATTATCTGCTAAACAAATTAAAAACTGTGCAGCTGATTATCATGAAGATATGACAGCAGAATTATTTGAAAAACGGTTTAATGAACAGCTTTTACCTTACATTCCACCACAGTCAGTAATACGTACGGAAAAATCGTTCTATTCAAAGTTAAAGAGCATAAAATTTTGCGTCGAAAAACCTCCCTAACGTTTAAATTGGACCGATTTATAAGGTCGCTACCGTCAGTCGAAAAAAGCCAATTTTTAGCAACTTTTGTGGAAACTGCAAGAAACTCACTTTTAAAGATTTGTGATGTAAAATTTTGCGTTCAGTGAGCATCGAAATTTTAAATTTGGATCAGTATATACGCATATACTTATCATTTCTCCATTTTCCTCTAAACGCTTATTTGACCAATATGCAGGGGTTCCATATTAAGAACAACTTTGCGCTGCCAATACGAACCTCACTCCTCTTAAAACCCTCCTCCCAACCCTAAATTAAAGTACTAACTCCCCCCTTTCTCTCAAACTCCCTTCCCAATCCTAAATTCCTAAGGTATTATGTTGATGTAATAAGAAGTAAGTACTTATTTACAAAAAAAATATTACTCCTTCATTATATTTAGAGTTACAAGATAAAAGAAGTAACTTCTCATTATATATTTGAGGAAAAATCGTGGGAAGACCATATAATCATTTGGAAAGAAGAGCAAATAAGTTGAAGTATAGTGTGAAGAACTATGTTAAAAAATACCTGATAGCAATGTTTATTTTATTTGACTCTCCTTCGTTTGGTTGGAACTGTGGAAGGTCCGGGCGTAGGTTCTTCAATGGACGATGATTGTCCAGGCTCAGGCTCTTTAGCACTCGGAGTGGCAGGCTGTGATGGCGGTTCTTAAACTGAAAGCAATGTCATTGAGTTTGTGTTTTGTAAAATAACGCATAAATTACCTTCTGAAGTCTCACCTGCCTCTGACAGTGGTGCAGCAAACGTTGAATCGTCTTCTTGCTCATCGAGGTCGGTTCTTTTGTCCACGTTGGTGCAGGAATCGGTACAGTTGATAGAGACTTGGTTGTAGAACAGACTTGCGCGCCTGCATCTACAATGCTCACCACAATCAGTGCGGCATTTGCATGATATTTTATGCATTAGTTTGTCAGGAGCCAAGAGTTTCAGGATGGTAAGTAGGATCAGACCATTTTTGATTAACTTCCAACCCCCCAGGTTCGGATCCAAATTGTTGTCGAGCTATTGATGCACTTGTAAATATACACGCAAGCTATGCTGGTAGGTTGCAGCATCGGTTCGAGGGATATGTGCAATGTTGCTGTAAATCTTTAAGGCAGATGTCACGTACTGCTATCGCAGCGCATTCAAGGAAGTTGTTAGATGGTTAGCCCCGTACAGGGCCACCAAAAATTTTTCTCCAGCAGCAGCAATTGCCGTTGGCTGGGCTAACGGATCCCAGAATTCCCAGAATTTTCCAACGGTCTCTTCAAGGTCTGGATAATTAGAGACAGTGTTCAAAAATTTAGTCTTGCCTTGGATATATAAATATGACGTCGAATCGCATCTACTCATCGCGTGCAGAAACATCATGTGCTTGGCAATATTTTGTTTCACTGCAGACTGTGATTGGTACAGCATCTGAGGCGCTTTCCCTTTTCCTGGCTTCAGCAGATAGACGTTTGGTGAAGTGTTGAGACCCATCACTATCGCCAGCAGATCTACATCTTCCCCCAAAATCGCAACAGTTTGATGAGTTGGGGCCAAGGATTCGACCGTCCGAACAATCAGTGAATCCGCATCCTCGTTTGCTTGTCTGCAGGCAAATTCCAGCTTTTTCACACTTTGCCATTAGCATGGTAATTAAGAAGCGACTTTTGTTTTTGGCATTACACATAAACTTTTCTTGAGACACCGTCGGAGAGTTTCTTGGTTGATCTCCTCAACCGCTCCATGGATTTGGGAGTTTATTGCAGTTTACATAAAAGTTTTCGAAACTCCTTCAGATTGGTTAAATAAGCGCTTAGAGGGAAAATGAAGAAATGATCAGTATATACGCATATACTGATAATTTCTTCATTTTAGATCGTTATTCCTACGAATGCCATATTTTTATCGCTGATTTTAGTAGACTAAGAACCGTATTCCGAACAATATTATATGGCGTATAAAAGTACAAGGAAAAAGGTATCAAAATGCACAAAATCTTAATTTTTTAATTGTTGTACTTACATCGCTCGTTCCCTGTAGTCTTCTTACATTATTGATAATAATTCTTAAATATTTAAATTTTTAGAGTTTTACTTTAACAATTTGCTTGTGGTGTACACAAATATTCTTTTCAAATACGTTCCTTTAAATTTTATCAGATTCAAACTTCTGCTTTATTTCCTCTCGAACTAAAATTTTCGGGACTTGTGGTATTGCCATCGAATAAAAAAGTTTCCTGCGGTTTTGTAGAATGTGGTGTTAGGGTCGAGAAAATTAAAAATCGTATCTCGTTGTGGTTTTCCAAATAAATTTCTATCGGAATGCAAGGTCATAAAATAGAAGGCCTAAAAGTTCACTCCAAAATGAGCCAATAAATATATATCTACAATATTTGGCGTGGTATTAAACTATTTACCTAGATCCAAGGATTGACCTAAATTTAAATAAAATAAGCTAGTGTAATTTAAATAAGATGTAGATTTTTTAAATTTATAAATCGATATTAATAATAAAAAAACAGACTTCTTTCCTTGTCCATGATAACCTAGAAATAATTTTTTTTTAATTTTAACGTTTTTAAATAAAGTATTTCTTATGTATTGACGAGTGTAACAAATTTTATCAGCTTTTGTCAAATAAATATATACTATAACCGTCTAGTTTAACAACTTGTTCAATCTTATTTATTTTCAAACTAATCATGTACAGGGGTAGATCGAGAAGTTTCCAGAATTATTTTTTTTTCTCATAATATTGAAAGTATGTTAACCAGCAATACCAACTCTTTGATAATTTTATGAGAGGTTTACATAGTCAGATCTGTAAGAGCAACTTGGGGAGGGATTAAATTCAAGGAATGTTTTGGAAATTTCTCCATCTATTCTTATAAATACGAGTATGTTCAAACATAGAGAGTATGGGTAATTTCATATAGTGTAGTTTAAAATTTTCAATTGATGAAAACAGATTTGGTGTCCAAAGGGTAAAGGAAATATATTTTCTTAATGATCTACAAAGTATTACTATCAAATTTCAATTTATAGTTAACCTTTTCGTTTATAAGCAAGCTCACAGTTCCAAAATATTATTGAAATCAAGTAGGTAGTTATTATCATGATGTCGTGTTCATTTTCAATGACAGAACTGTTATAGAGATATTCTCAGATAAACAAACGAAATAGGTAACAGGCATCGTTTAGGATAGTATTGGTTTGAAACAAGTATTATACAAACGTTTGACAATTTGATTCTCAAATGGCGCATCAAGTAATTTTTTTATCAGTATCCAAAGAATATTTTTAAATATTTTATAAAGAACGCATTTAAAGAAAAATGCAATTCAAACAGTAATTTTACGAAAAAGTATTTTTAATTCGGATGTAATAAACGACATTTTAAAAAAAATGGGTTTCAAATAATTAAATTGTTAATATTGTATATAGGTAGGTACATGCTAATTAATTTGTTATATTTGGAAAAAAATATGAGCAATAAATCTGTAGAAGCCTAGTGATTTATTGTTATCAAGCTTAATTACCAAGCTAATTACCTTAATTATTACCTATAATTAATTAGTAGTATTTTAATCCTATAGTTACATTGGTATCTCAACTTCTCTTGATACAGTAATTTTTTGTCGCTTAAATATTTTAGAAGAGATATTCTAAAGACCTTTTAAATTTGCTTAATATTTTGGCATACTTTCCTCTTAAGTTAGGCACTTACAGATTTCTTCTTTACAAATTAAATAGCTCCTGGAACAGTGTCGATGAAACGAGTTGAATTTCCCCGATTCACTATCTGTATTGGAAGTTATTGAATCAATAAATTTGTTAGACATTTTTATTTAGAAAGATTATGATATACTTTAATCATTTTGTCAATCTATGTGCAAAGTATATTGTAACGCTGGTTTTTGGCAAACTCAATATATTTGTCAACTCAAATTGTTACAATATACAACTATGAATATTAAATTACAACGTCTGTTATTAAACTGAATCAGTGACGTCAAGATCATGGACATATATAGCTCCTTAGAATCTTCTCTATCCTTCCAGATCTTTCTTAATACGAAATAACAATTCTAGACTGTTTTCTCTCATCTTCTTTTATTTGTACTTTTACTTATGACAACCGCAAGCACACTGGGTGACATTGTACTTCTTTAACTCGTACGTTTCCTATAACAGCCGCAGGCTACTGCAGAGTGCAGGGTAAGATTGTTCCCTTCTTTCTAATTATTTTTACCGAAGAACTTGATTACTAGGACCTGGTTTTCAATGTGAACTACCTTGGGTTTACCTCCCACTCACAACTGAATGCAGGATGGTGTAGGGACCTTTCCATTTACATTGCAGATTCTTTTTCCACGCTTGTGACTCTATAGCTATGCTGGTTTGCATTTCTTAAAATATGTCCCTGCAGCATGCATGTCGATTCTAGGTTTTCCATCAAACGTTCCTGAGCCAATTCGTAGGCCTTCTCTAATATTTTTCTTAAAATTCTGTATGTACGTGGGAGGAGTACAGCCCTCTTTTTCACCAGGAGACTGCCTTCACAAGAAAATCATCTCTCTTCGTAATCATCATAGATGGAGTATAACTGTCGATTCATGTTAAGAACTTTGATAGGCTAGCAGAAATAGAGGAATTAGTGTCTCAGTCCTTTTGGTTTTTAGAGACAAACATTAAAAGATACTGGCGTATGGTTTTATGGTGTCTTTCTATTATTTTGTCGGAATATCAGTGAAGAGGCACAATGCGTGTTTTCCTGAATCAATTCTTGCCATAATTCGGTTTTAAAATTTCGTCCTTGGTAAGAGTGTAATTCCAGAGGGACTCCATGTCTTGCTATGTCATTTATCATCAATGCTTCTGTTACTGCCATCGCTTACTTAATTCGAATGTGCGCTATTTCGGCCACTTTAAAAAATAGTCCATAACAACCATAAAGTATTTTTGTACCCTCTCTATTAAGAGAAGTTGTCCATATCTATGGTGATTCATTCGAAAGACTCTCCGAAAGGTACTATGCCATTTTAGATCGGCTTCTCGATTTAGGTCATTTTCTGTCATTGCATAAAACAAATTTGTAACACTAACCTTCTACATTTCGTTAACAGTTGACCCATTAAAATATTTATCGAACTCGTGCCAGTGCCCTTTTAGTTCCAAAATGTCCTCCTAAACGGCTGCTAGGAAGCTTTTCCAATACACTTCTAAAATCTCATTTTGGCAGTACCACTTGGCGGACTATATGAGCTTCAGCAAGATTCTCCCACTTCCGGTGCAATAGGCCATCGTGAAGATATTGGAAATTCCAGTATTCTTTAATAATTCCACTATATCTGTCTATCTCTTACTATTTTTGAGCCATTCTCGGATAACCTTTAAGTAATTTGTCTCTCTTTTAAGTCTTTTTCAGGCTTTTAAGGGTGATTTCGTCATCGTTGCCTTCCGACTTGATAGTGTTTGCCTAAAGACTAACTTCTTCAACCGGCTCCTCTCGTTCTTCGAGCCTTTTACAGTACCGGCATTATCGTTTTAAGCAAGGTCACCTGTGGAGGGTGGGTTACCCCACGGCACTTAGGCCTCATTAGGCCCATTGTGCATCCTCCTGAGAATATAGGCACCTCCTAACTCGTGAGCCAGCCTACAGATTTAATGTAGTTGACAACGTCGCCAAGAGGTGCTTCTCTTATATCGGCCGGTGTTAGCCGATACTCGCTGAACACAAATCTAATAAATGAGAGCGTCGAGCAATCATAAAGGATATGCTCGATGGTATCATCTTCTTGTTCGCACCCTCTGCAGAGTGCGGATTCTGACAGCCCCATAATATGGAGATGCTTTCGTACTTGGCAATGACCAGTTAGAATGCCTGTGACTAGGCGCAGATTCTGTCTAGCCATAATCAAGCATTTGTTTGCTGTAGTGTTGTCAGGATAACAAGGTCGCCTGGAAAGAATGTCTGCGTTGCTATGGAGACGGCCTCTTCGGTGCACTACTTCCTGATTACTGCTAGAAATCCAGCTAGGCGTTGGTGACCGGCTTCTTTGAGAGGTACGAGTATATCTATTGTAATTATTTCTTGTTGAATTTTGTGACGAGCCTCGGCAAGGATACACCTTCCGAAGCCTGGCCGTATTTCCCAATTCCCAATTTATAGAACGAGCCCTGCTTCTACAGGTTCATTGAAGGTGTTTGATTCTTCCGCAATTGAAGCATCTTGTGTCTACAAGATGCTTCAATGAATACCTCTATGCCGATTTATTCTCGGAAATCTTTGAGCGTCTGTGGATAGGCCTGATAAAGCAATCTAGGCGCAGATTCTGTCTAGCCATAGTCAAGTATTTGTTTGCTGCAGTGTTGTCAGGATAACAAGGTCGCCTGGAAAGAATGTCTGCGTTGCTATGGAGACGGCCTCTTCGGTGCACTACTTCCTAATTACTGCTAGAAATCCAGCTAGGCGTTGGTGACCGGCTTCTTTGAGAGGTACGAGTATATCTATTGTAATTATTTCTTGTTGAATTTTGTGACGAGCCTCGGCAAGGATACACCTTCCGAAGCCTGGCCGTATTTCCCGATTCCCAATTTATAGAACGAGCCCTGCTTCTACAGGTTCATTGAAGGTGTTTGATTCTTCCGCAATTGAAGCATCTTGTGACTACAAGATGCTTTAATGAATACCTGTATGCCGATTTATTCTCGGAAATCTTTGAGCCTCTGTGAATAGGCCTGATGAAGCTGGCTTTGGAATACCTGTTTTAAATGCTGCTGATCATATATTGACTTCAAAGCTTGGACGAAAGACAAAT